GCAGCTTAACTATTAATAATGCAACACTAAAGTATTTTAGAAATGCTACCCAATGTTCCTTTACTAATTAAAATACGGTGATCCAAGGATCTAGTTTTATTCAATATTCCAACATGCCAAGGGAATTTTTGCAGCATAACCCCTTACAGCACAATCTATAATTGAATAATAATCATTTCCACCTTCAAAATGATCTTCAATGGCATTAAGGTCAGATTTATTGATAAACACTGAATCTATTCAGATACAAATAAAAAACTCTCAAAAACTGAAATATTAGTTTACGTAAGCAAGTGTTTTCATTTTCTCTCAAGTTGCACATATAGTGAAAAGATATTGCAGTTTGTTAATTGTCCATGTTTACATGAGAATCTGAGAGCGTATTTGTAGGCCTGCAAAAGTATGTGTTTATATTTCCAGCCTTTCCTCAGACAAATTTCAATTTAATGATAATTTTATTCATATCAAAAAAACTTTAGCGAGTGCGAGGTACCTTCTTAATCAAAGCACTAGCGGTGGAATTCTTTAAAAGTATCTGTTACTGTGCACTTTTGATACAGACAAGAGAAGCAATCTGCTTACCTAGGTTACCAGACAGTCACACAGCAAAAGAGCACAGGGGATATAATGATATTCCTGTAACTGCTATGAGCTTGAGAGACCAGTATCACATTGTAGGGTTTTTTGTTTTGGTTTGGTTGGTTGGTTTGCTTTGTTTGACTGTTTCGGAGTTTATTTGTTTTTTTGTACAGCAAAATAGAAGAGAGAGATAAACTGCATCCAGCAAGACACAACATGACAGTAAGACAGAATAGACAGAGCAGAGCAAACCATTCAATTTGCTGGACTGTAGAGGTTTTCCCTCCAACCTCTCAGTTCAAAGCTAATTATCTAAAACTAGTAAAACTCTTATGTACTAACACCACTGACAAAGCTTTATCATGATATTTAATAGAGATTTGCTCAAGACAAGTAAAAACTAGCCAGAAAATAACACACTTGCACAGTTCTGAACATGGAAGAATTAAATAGGTGGAAAAGACTTGTGGAAAACTAATTTACCAGTAAATAACTACAGAAAAACTACAGCAAAAAAGAGAACAAATGTCAGAGCACACATAATATGCACACAAATTACTACAGGGAGTCCTTGAAAAAGGCCTGATAATCTCTACTCATCAACTGAAAAGTTCAAAACTTCAATCCAAATACTGATAACCAAAGATGAGGAAAAAAAATAATGCTGAGTTGGCCTTTTCAGGGATGTGGCTATGTCTTGTAATCTTCATTTCCTTTCTATATCTTCCAATCAGTATTTCCCTGAAGAGTTGAAAGTAATCATCACGACAGAAATTTCAATTGAAAGCATCCTAGTCTACTGCATTCTCAAGCTGCATTTTTTGTTATTGATGCTTATAAAATCCAAAGCTTTATTTACAGTGGGCTTATCCTCTCTGGTTTATTCAGCAAGTGCCAGTCCATCACTGAGGACAGAGTGCAAAACTGAATATAACTACTGGCAGGAAAACTAGGCCTTGTCAGAGAATGCCGTGAGCAGCTGATTTTAGTATTTTTCCACCTGACCATGAATACAGCTGGTGTGGGGAAAAAATAAGAAGATGAAAACGTGATGTCTTTGATTAAAAAAAAAGAAAAAAAATGCAAGAATTTGCATACTGACAACGTCTTTAACTTTTTTACACATTGATCTTAACTGTCAATATGATAGGTCTTAAAACCTTAAAGAATTTATATTTAATCCAGTATTAAAAAAAAAAAAAAAAAAAAAGTCAGAGGCAACCTCAGTATTCCCGTGACCCAGAGTCATCAGTTATCAGCAGTTAAAAGACAGGGTGCATTTCTCCAAAAGCTCTGGCGCACGCCAGTTTTTCAGAACTTCTATGGCTTACATAAGTCTGAAGGCTACTGGCTGCTTAAAGAATAACAAGTCATAAAATCTGTCACATGTCTGTGTTCCTTATGATTTAGCTATCATAAAATGCAAATTAAAGGCTCCTTTTAAATTTATTTACAACCATAACCCAACAGATGCACATTTCATAGTTTAGGTGCCAGACTAACAGTGATTAAGTTTATTCTCTTAAAATTTAACTTTAAAAGCATTTTTCCATAATTTCATTTTAAAACAGAGACCAGTTCTCCTTATAGATGATATTCCATTTGTCATTATCGTTAACATAACAACTTAATACATTCTTCCTATAACATCTGAGTAAGTTTATTAAAAGACTTCAGAGGTCTTTAATTTTTAAAGAAAATACTACACTTTGGAACTACACATTTATCACAAAAAAAAAAAAATCAAGTCTGCTTTCAACAGAAAACAAGTAATTTGTTTCCATGTGTTTCCAATCATCTGAAAATATCTTCCATTTTTCTGAGAACTTGAACATTCTTCATGTAAAATATTTAACATTTCAGTAGTGGATAAACATCCGTGCCATTTTTAAACTTTTTTTTCTGTATTTATCTATTGCAAACATGTTTCTATATTGTCACAAAACGTGAATTAATAACATTAACGGAGATATTACGGGTATAATTAAGAGGCTTAGTTTTTCATTTCTTATATCCATGCTCAAAATGGCTACCTCTCATAAAAAATATCAAAGCACTAGTTGGGGAACTGCTGGAATACAGCACCTCCTATTTAAGCTGGAGAATAAGCTGCTTCCACATACTTCCTTACAAGAGTTACTGTCACCTCATGGCTTCCAGTTGTAGAGTTCGCCTAAGCATCTCAAAGCCAGCTTCTGTCAAAATAACAAGACTTATGGGAAACTTATTAAAAGTACTCAGATTATATCATTTTGACAGGAATCTTCAGAGGCAGAGCAATTCTAACCTAATGCCAGGAGAGCCCTTACAAATGAGAGCACCTTTATAAAAGAAACAGGTCAAAGAAGTCTGGAGGATGCCTTTGTGAAATCAGCATCAACTTTAAGAAGCATACCTTTGAAGTAGATGTGGTCTGCCTTGACTTCAGCAAGGCTTTCAACACCATCTCCCAAAACATCCTCATGAGGAAGCTCAGGAAGCGTGATTTATACGAGTGGACAACAAGGTGGACTGAGAACTGGCTGGATGGCAGAGCTGAGAGTGGTGATAAATGGGGCCAAGTCCAGTTGGAGACCTGTGGCCAGTGGTGTCCCCCAGGGATCAGTACTGGGCCCAGTGCTGTTCAACTTGCTCATCGGAGAGCTGGATGAGGGCACTGAGTGCACCCTGAGCAAGTTTGAGGGTGATACCAAGCTGGGTGGAGTGGCCGACACTCCAAAGGGCCGTGCTGCCATTCAGAGGGACTTAGCCAGGTTGGAGAGTTGGGCAGAGAGGAACCTCATGAGGTTCAATAAAGACGAGTGCAAGGTCCTGCACCTGGGGAGGAACAACACCAGGCATCAGTACAGATCAGGGGCTGACCTGCTGAAGAGCAGCTCCACAGAAAGAGATGTGGGAGTCCTGGTTGACAAGTTAATAGCCAAGGCCAATGGGATTCTGGCTGCGTCAGATGTTGCCAGCAGGTCAAGGGAGGGGATCCTGCCCCTGTGCTCAGCTCTAGGGAGGCTGCACGTGGAGCACTGGGTGCAGTTCTGTGCTCCTTGGGACAAGGAGGATTTGGAGCTTCTAGAGAGGGTCCATCAGAGAGTGACAAAGATGATGAAGGGACTGGAGCATCTCTTGTATGAGGACTGAGATGGGCCTGTTTAGCCTGGAGAAGACTGAGAGGAGATCCGATCAATATGTACAAATACCTGAGAGCAGAATGTAGTGCGGATGAGACCAAACTCTTCTTGGTGGTGGCCAGCAACAGAATAAAGGGTAATGAGTACAAATGGAAATGCAGGAAGGTCCATATGCATGTGAGGAAGAACTCCTTTGCTGCGAGAGTGACAGAGCCATGGAACAGGCTGCCCGGGGAGGTTATGGAGTCTCCTTCTCTGGAGATCTTCAAAACCACCTGGATATGACCACCAGAGCTCCAGGCTCTGTGTGTCCCTGCTTGAGCGGGGGGTTGGACTAGATGATCTCTAGAGGTCCCTTCCAAAGTTAACCATCCTGTGACTCATCATAATTTTAGCAGACTAAGACATATGAAGAACATTAACACCAACCCCCTAAAATAATAACCACTCATAACCAATGGATTCAAGTTAAAGTCTGCAAAGATGCCTCACGATGCAAAATAAAAAGCATATCCTTTAAAGAAGGGCAAAACCTCCCCCTGTGTTTCTGAGGGAACCTGCGTGCGTATGATCATCTGCCAGACCGCGATCGCCCCTCCCGCAGCGCCCCGCCCCGGCCTCCCCCCGCCAGGCCGCCCCCCTGCGGCCGGGGAGGCTCCGGCTCGCGCGGTCCTTCGGAGCGGCCCAGGTAGCCCCGCCCCACCCGCTCCGCGCCGGCCCCGCCCCGCGAGGGGGATGGAGGGGCCTCGGCCGCCGCGGCGCGAGCAGGAGGACGCGGGGGASCACTTGAGGGCGGCGGCGACGGGCAGGTCACGAACTCTGACCTTTCATGGGGGCACCGCGAAAACGAAACAAAACAAAAGGCCCCACCGACCCGTAATACAGATTCGACCCCCCTCCCCCCGCGGACCCGTTAACCCCGTCACCGCCGCCACCGCCTTCAAGGGGGGAGGGAGGGCCAACGCCGGGCACCGCMGCTCAACGCCGGCCCGGACGGGCCGGGGTCAGGGTCACCGCCAGGGCACGTTTGGCGCCAACTACTGAGGTAAAAAAAATTTTTAAATTGAAAAAACCCAAAGGGGATTATCTTGTTGGGACCAGGATGAGGGAGGGGGCAGCAGGAGAGGGCACCGGGGCCACGTCCGGGACAGCACCACGAGCGGTGAAGGGGAGGTGTAACGCTCCGCTGGAGGGGAGGGCTCCGGTAAGCTGCTGGCAAGTGGGAGCCGGCCATAGTCGCGGCTGCCTGCCGTTCCCGGAGAGCGGGCCGCTCTGAGCAGCTGCAGCGGTCCGACGCAGGAGTCCCGATGCGGAGCCACTGGGTTGGGCCGCCTGAGGTCGGAACCGATCCGGTCGCGGTGAGAACGGCTTGCCATCCGGGGACGGCGGGAGGAGGAGGGATCCAGTCGCAGCAGTGATGAACGCGGGATATGAGCACAGAGGGAAGATGGAGTCTGAGCGGGCGGAGGCGGCGGCTTGAACCCGACCCTTTTACCTTTGCCACCGGGAGGGCGGAGGGGAGGGGGCGGTGGGTACTTTGCATACGGGGCTGAGACCGCCGCCATCTTACCGACCGTTTCTTCACTACCAGGCCTGGACCTCTCGGAACCTGGCATAAGCGTACACCGGGGGGAGGGAGCCTAATGGCGGCGGCTACAGCCCCGCCTGGGACTTGGCCGTCCGCCAGCGCCGCCATCTTGTACTTAGTCGCGTCTCTCGGGTGTTTTCCTCTCGCTCGGGGGGCGGAGCCGCCGCCCGAGGTGACAGTCCGCTCGGCCAATCGGTGGCGAGCGTGGGAGTCCTGCGCCTTCGGTGAGGTCATTGGTTGGAGGGGGAGGCGGGAAGGAGGGGTGTGGTGGCTGCCGCGGGCGCTCCGGCAGAGGGTCGCGTGGGGGCCGTTGCTCTGGAGGGGCGCGCGAGCACGGCAGCCAATGAGCGCGCGGCGGGAAGGAGGCAGCTGTGAGGGCGCCGCCGGGCGGGGCGGAAGCGGTCTGGGTGTCGCTCGCGGGCGTACCGTGTGTTGTGCTGTCGCGGGCGTGGCGCTAACGGTCTGCCACGGCGGGCTCCCTGTAGGATAGGCTCCCAGCACAGCCTAACCGCCGCAGGCCGCGCTCGCCATGGTTACGGCGAAGAGAATCTCGCTGGTCTGCTCCAGAGAGTCGAGGGTCAGGCGGGCGGCCTCGGCAATCTACCCGCATGCTTGGCCTCTGCCTCTCACCCTTTTATTAGGGTGATATATTCAGTACCTCAATGGAATCTATTGTGAGGTTTCACTGATTTCATGGGGAGAATAATGGATTTGTATAATTGTTTTTGGACAGCAGTTCATCCACAGTTTGCTGAGTTGGTATCTGCCATCGAACCCACAAGACCTCGAGTATACAACTTGCAGCATATGTAAAGTTTCTCTGTGCACATGACTTTATTTTTTTATGATTTTATGCGTAAGTCTGGTTTCATCAGTGTAAAAACTTTATGTAAGATACCTCTGTGAGTTGTTCAGTAAGCTTTATGGTTACTGAAATCTTAAATGTATTTTTTATATAGAAAATATTTTCCTAGTGATCTAGGCATTGTTAGCAGCAAAATACCAGACTTTTTTTAAAATCTTATAGGCACTGTGCAAAAAACATATAATCAGCATTTGGTAGTCTGACTTGTTAACTTAAAAATGAGATGCTGAAAAGGAATTACTGAGCAACCGACAAACTATCCACAAGCTGCAATATTAAATGAGCCTGGTTCCATAAACTTGTCAAGTTGAATGGTCTAGAAAACAAAATAAAAACCTATTGGAAAACTAGTTTAAGTATTATTTCCAATGTGTTTCATCTTTTGTTTCATGTTGTACAAATAGTCTTCCAGTCTCCCATTGACTTGTGAAAAACATTTTCATATTGCATTTACCACAACACAGTTTCAATTTTTTAACCTAATTAATTTTTTTATTTTCAACATTGTCTGCTTTGTAAAAGTTGTCTGGAGATGAGTTTTGGTGCTAGTGATACATATGTATCTTTCTGATGCTGGTAGGTTTATTTATTTTGTGTATCAGCAGATTTTCAATGAAATATTAGGTGTACCAACATAGGAATTTTATTTTCAATGCATCTGAGTCAGGATCTGAACACTTAATCTGGGAATGAGGAAGACAAGAGGTCAAAGCTGAATCTGCAAATGTGAAATTGTAGTTAAAATATGCCAATTTTTTTCACCCTTAAAGAGAGTAAAAAGCTAAGAGAAGGGAGAAAAAAAAGCAATTCTGCAGTATTTTCCCATTACAGTGGTAATAGTGTTACCACATTATAGTTTAATATAACTTAGATAACAGAAATTGCAATTTAAGTGTGATAGTCTACTTATCATTCAGGATTGACACAAGAATATGAATGATTTGGCAATTTGAGAAAATGACTCAAAAATTAATTCAAACACCTATCTCAGGTAGTTGTTTCTTTGTCAAGCACGTAACATACAAGTAGTTTATCTGCAAGGTTTCTCTTTCCCTATGTTGAGCAGTACATCCTTGACATCTGTACTGTATCAGTAGCTGAAATTCAAAATAGTCCTTTTTAATTAATTAAATTAACAGCTGTTATTGCTAATTTTAGATAAAGTGGGAGGCTTTACAAATAATAACTACATGTCTGTAGTAGTATAATTCAGCTTTTTGAAAACCATGTTTCTGTATATGCGTGCGGTACATGTAAATGTGTAGATATATGCATATTTATGTGTGTGCGCTTTTCTTATTTGTCAGGTAATCAATCAGGATTGTAATTTCTCATTAGGTCATATCAAAGATTTCTTTATTAATAAATAAGAAAAAAAAAAAACATTTTTTTTGTGCCTGATGGAAGTTGCTGGCATCTTTTCAAACAGATTCTCTAATGATCTTGCTTCACCATGGCAACCAATATGGAGGTGCTGGCTCAGCAGGTAGTGGAGACACAGCAGGTGGCTGAGGTGAGTGGCAGATGATATCACAGCACTTGGCATAGGAGCTTTTGAAAGGAAAAATGTGCTGTCGCATTCTTGCTCTTTACAATTAATCATAAATGGAGTAGAAAATCCTTATAGACCAACGTTTCCTTTGCACTCAGGGAAATAAGAAACCAACCGATATATAATTTGTTCACCATACTTCATTACGATGGCTTCCATATTGGGGATGTAAAGCAGGAAATTCACCCATGAACTTAAAGGAAATTTGTCTCTGTTATAGGTTGTTATAATCTAAAAAAAGCAATATAACAACATTTCTGATCATTGGATCATTCGTTTGGGTTATCTAGGGTTTCTGTTCTCCCAAACTGGCACATAAATTCACTATATTTGATAAACAGTAGCGTTAAGTATTGGTCTGGATTTACAATAGAGCGATTAAATAAAAGTTAATATTTTCTGCCTTGTATGAGATACAGATCACAAAACACTTGAAGTGATATTAAATGATACTTTGATGTATATTAACTGAAACTTGGATGCGCAAGGCTAAAATGTCTAAATTGACTCATCAGCACTGAAATAGCAGATGATTTTGGTTATAGTAGGTAACACATCTTCRGTTTGACAGCTTTAGTCAAAAGAAAAGTTAGGATATTTGCTTGATTAAAATTTTTATTTGACAATATTCTTCAGAGTTGCCATATCAACATGCAATTAAAGGATTTTGTAAATGAAGGCCAAGTTGTCTACGAAATCGCTGAAGGTAGCACCAATATTCAGACAACAGTTTCTGTGATCTTTGGCCTATTTATCTCAGATTACACCTTGCAATCGAAATATTTGTTGGTCTCATGAAAGAGCTGTATAAGTGAAGTAAATCTTTGTACCATTGTGTTTTCAAAAATGAATTACAAAATATTTACTGCAATTTATTAATAAAAGTGCTAGTTGTTTTAAAATTTACAATTACAGTAATTGAAAAACAATCTGGACAAAGAGGCTACTGGTGTGTGCTGGAAATAACATCTAAGAGTAGTTTCAAAATTTCACTCTGAAAACTGACGAGCAGATTTTCACTCTAATTTGCTAGTTAAGGTATCAATATGACAAGCTGCGTTCTTTTAAAAAAAAATTTCCAGGAGAACTTGGAAATAAAAAATTATTGTGAAAATAGTGGCAGACTTTATACTATTTAGTAGAACTTGAGTGCTATAATCACTTTTAAGACACATAAAATATGTGACATTTGTAATTCCTCGTGCAGGAAATGCACCGTGGTAACATAGTGTGATGGTTGTGTCTTGCCACTGGAGAGAGCGCTCCATCCCGAGAGTGTATGAAGCTCTGTGATTTCTTCCTGTCCGGTGGGTAAATAGAGGGCTTCATCTCTTTATAGTGTTAAACTCCTCCTTAAATTATATGCCTCTCTGCTGCATAACACCATGAGAATTTTGTTCATGGAAAAACAGTTGAAAGCAGCATTGTCTTATTAAGATTTTATTTATGTTATGGMAATGTTGTCTTTAAACTTTGAATTCTCTTGGTGAATGGCTAAGTGCCTACTCTTTGTGCCTTCAGTCACATATAATTTTTAATACAGCTAAATACATTACTAATTTTCTTGAAGTATACTAAAATTCTTCATTCATACTCACTATTTATTGAAGAAAATATAAAAATGTATCATTGGATTTAGAAATGAGACATTTTTTTCAAAATATTTTTCATCAGGGGAAACTAAACAGAAAGACAGAAGAGGTCATTAATCACACCCTGAATTTTAGGCTATAAATGTTAAGACAGACATCAGTTGCAGACAGGGTCGTTTAATGTAAATCTTGATATGTTTAGCTATAACTACATTGATTTTTCAAAGTAATTGTCGTATATGTTATGCCTGGTTTATTGAGAATCCTGATGCCAAGCACCAACTCACTGTCGTGTGAGTAGTCCATATGTTATTTTTCTTTCATAAGTAATAGTTTGTCAGGTTCATTTTTTTGGGCATGTATCACAAGCGTTACTGAGCACTGTCCCGTATTACTTTTTCTGTGCTTATTCTTTTTTAATGGACTTCTTGAAATTGTCCCTCCAGTGGTTTCAGATGCTTCACTGCTTTTGCTCTTCAGCAAATTTTGTTGTGTTTCTCCAGCTGTATCTTCCTGAGCAGGCTGCATTAAAGAATTCTATTTTTAGTGTCTGCAGCTGACTTTAGTTATGGTTCACAACACYGGAGAACATAGAGCAGCTAGAGGATTTAGAGAGAAGTTTAACAATTCCTCCTTACTTAGAGTAGCTTTTGGAAAATACAAATAAAATTTTAGTCTTTAGGGGAAAAAATGCTAATGCTATTTTTTCTGAAGTATTTCTGAGAAATATTTTTCTACTGTGAATATGCAATTAATCAGTTGCTCAGGTTCAGTTTCTGTATCAATTTAGATATAATTTGCATTATTTAAGAAAGATATATTTGGGTATGATATATTCCCTATGCTATACCCTACATTAAAAAAAATATGTATTTTTTTTTCAAGTAGACCTGTCACCATGAGGAAATAAAAAGGATGTTGCCTCTTCCATGGATCAGCTCTGATGCTAGCTGACTAGGAAGAACTGCTGGCAGTTGCTACTTCTATCTCCTTTCTGTTCCATGACAACCACAGAGCATTGCCAGTGCAGTCCTCCTCTTTCTCTATCAGAAACTAGTGGGAGAGAGTCACAGAAGATGTTTGCTTGTTAGAATCTCACTTTAGGGAGGCCAGCTGCCTCCCTAAAATTGGTTGCTTTCAGTTTCCCCAGTGTTCTGAGAAGAACCTATGAAAACCCTGGGCCTTCCCAAAGGTCTCTTTTCCATGAGACTGAAAAAATATTGGATATCTTTGCCACATACAATATTTTCTTGATTCTTTAGATGTCGCTGACATGTTACATCATCCATTATCTTCAGCAGGCTGGTTTAAGTAGATCAGCAATTTGGGTGTAAGTCCACATGAAGGATAGTAAACTGAAAGATGGGAATAGAAACACTGCCCTTCTGATTGAATAACAGTTTTCATTTGTGTGTAAGAGTTAAAGGTAGAGGAAAACAAGGCCGTTTATATTCTTTTTACTATCACTAACAGTGGTATGTTTTCATGTCTGGTTGAATTTCAGGGTAGAATTTTGATGGTGAGCCTTCTGAGGTTGTTTTTATTCTAAATAAAATTACTAGTTATATTACATATTGATTTATTCCTTTAATGTATATATTTATCATAGAACACTCTCATAATCAATGTGATTGTCCAGGAATAAAATAATGTGACCCTGTGTGTGCAGGGGAGTTGGACTAGATGATCTCCAGAGGTCCCTTCCAATCTTAATGATTCTGTGATTCTAAAGTATTGAAGCTTTGATTAGTAAATACATTTCTTATTTTGGTTAATAAATACATTTATTCAAACATACCTACAAGCAGATAGATGTGTGGCTAAATGAGGTAAATAAAACACTCTGGGTAAGTTAGTTTCAGTAAATCAGTGTGTTTTTTGGATGTGGAGCTGTGAGGAAATCTTGTATTTAAAAGAAGTAACAAACATGAAGTGTCTAGCGAAACTTAGTTTCAAACTACCTATGTTACACAAACACGCGCACACATACACAAGCATATGTATGAGAAAATAATATAATTGTGACTAAAATACAGAATTCCTTTCCTGAGAAAAATCCACCAAAGGTGCAATCATATAATTAATATATATATATAATGATAAAGGGGAAAAAAAAAAAAGAAAGAGAAGGCAAGTTTAATTATACCGACCTTAAAAATGCACTTAATTGSCATCTGCTTGTTTTTAGGTTACTGTTTGGGTTACATTTGTATAATTCCAGAGATTTGTGCAAATCTTTTGTGAGATTTACTACAAATAATACTGAATTAATTATTCTTATGTTTTTGTAACTTGAGTCTATAAAATTACAGTCAGATAATTGTTGGTTTCAGAGTTCAGGTGAATGATGTCCTCTGCTGTCTGTTTCAAGCCAGGCAATTTTCCATGCCATAGCACGACGGTTGTTTTCAACTTCAGCTCTTATTGTCCAATAGATACCAGAAGAACTTGTTCTCCTAATATACATGCTTATAACTACAGTTTGCAAAGTTTTAAAATTATTAAAGTTAAAATTATTAAATCCTTAAAGTTACTAAATGACACTTGTATCCTTGTGGACTTTTCAGAGAATCACAGTAGTTAGGCAGAAACAACTTTTAATCTAAGCTAAATGGGTTTTTTGTTTATGTGGGTCTGAAAACTACCCTGGCAGAAAGATGTCAGGGTTTTTTTGGTTTGTTTTAAAGTTCCTCTTTAATATTGATAGCCCTTTTTTTTTTTTAATCAGAATAAAAGTTAATGTTCCCTTAATTACCATAATTGATGCAGATTTAATTCCATAATCACTATACAATCACAGTCTTCTGCAAAGACATGTAAGAGAGGTTGTAATCATTCTTAAAGTGACATTTTCAATAGGTAATGCATACAAAAAAAAGGACATTTTGAGAAGAATGGTATCTATTTGAACTAGCTTCTGTATTGTTTACCTTTGAAAATTACTACAGTTACAGTAATTTCAAAATCTCATTAAGAAGTCCTGTGTTATATTTAATATAACATGTACTCTTGTAAACATTGCTCCATGAGAATATTAATATTAGAATATCAGAAACTTCTAGGTTTTAAAATGCTAATTCTGGTACATTAAATATATATTTTATGGTAGTGTATTTGGTGTTAAATAAAGTTAAGAGTGAAGGCCTTCCTAAGTGTGCAGCATGTAGTGTTTGAGAAGGTTCCATTATGAAGAGAGTATCTAGACCTAAAAAATATAACATTTCTCTTAGTTAAAGGGATATTTTACATTTCTCACTCGTGTCTGTTATTTTTATGGGAGCTAGGTAGTTTTCTACGTGATTTCTACTGAAGTCTCAAGGGCTGCATTTCATTTTTACAATACAGCTATTGTGAACTATACAGGTGGCAAGTCTGCAAGTATTTGTTGCATAAGATTTTGGAGAGGAAATGCACTGCATTCAAGTTCGCTATCTTAAAACTTTTCAGGGATTATTTTCCCCACAACTTAAGATAACATAATTACAAAATAAATCCATCTTTTCTAAGTATGCCAAAATATCTGTTGTGTAAGAATTATGTGATTTCATCCATTTGTCAGCAGGTTCATCCACATATTTTGGAGGAATTTTAAGGAATCACACATACATCATGAACATAATGTATTTGTTCTTAAATGTAGTAAGACTGATCTCACTACCTCATATGTGATAGACCGAAACCAGAGAGGCCCATGCAAGCATGTTCCACAGAGAACATGATGGTTTCTCTCACCCATTTTACTGATAGGAAAATGATTCAAGAACTGTGCAAACTCTTTTCTCAGATTTCATTTTACTGCTTTACAGCTCCCAGAGAAAGAGCAGGCTGAAGGACATAAAGAGGGAGAGCAGGGAAAAGGGCAAGCTTTGTAACATAGATATCTCTTCCTCAGATCGAATCATATTATTAGACARACTCCTTCAGCAACTGGCAAAACAGCAGGAATATGTGGATTCTGCTTGCTTGGTTACAGGGAATGATAGTGCACTTGACCTTCACAGAAGCAGGGTCACAGAGAGGGCATTTTAAAACAATTCTGTCTGTTTTCTGTGATTGGAATCATCAGTAATGGAGGCTGGCTGCAATTATCTGTGATCTGACTGAAAGTGACGCCCACATTCCTCTCGGACTGTTTTGGCCTCGAGGCCAAAAAAAGGAAAAATGTAAATAAGGCTGCAGGAAGGATTTGATATTTTAACTGTTAGAGTCCGTACAGTGCATAGCTAGAGAGCTCTGGGAAACAAACAACACGAAGGGTGTTGAAGTAGATTATTTTCCCCCTCTCTCTTAAAATATAAATATTCACTATGTTTTGTGTAGGTAAGTTGGAGGGGAGGAGAGAGAGAGGAAGCTTTCTTTTGCATTACATCTGTTATTTTCTGAGTAACTCCAAGTCATTGTATTAGTGGTTACTTTTAAATCCTTGTTCATTAAACCTGTGTAAAATGTAGTATGCACTCTTTTTTCTACGATTTAAGCCTATTTTGTTTTGTTTTTAGCCTCTTCACTTTTGTAAGAAAGAAGTAAATTGAGTAATTAAACTATATCTGACTTTTTTTTGTTAATAATTTTTAGAATTGTATGATTCACTTTGGAAGACTAGGTTTTTGGCTATAGTATGTACAGCTTTCATAATAGTCACTCTAAATATGTGATATGGTTTTCATGGTGTGATGTTTTTTCTGTACAACAAATTAGAATAGTCACTGTTGTGAGTAATCCTGTAGATAAAAAGCATGGTCTAGCTTTTTGTTTGGTTTAAAGCTAAACCATGTTGTATTGCCTCAATTGAGTACTTACAAACCATTTGAGTTCAGAATACTTTGATTCACTATATTCGGGATTATGAATAGCTTATATTTTCCTGTAGCATAAATTTAACTTAATTGATTTCAGACTGATAAATCTCTGGTAGAACTTTAAAAAAATCTGGTCCGTGTTGTATATTCTCAGATTGCTGTTTACTTCAATAGTCAAAATGGGTTCATGCAGCCTTCCCTTTCTTTGCATGACACATCAGTTTTTAAAATATATTTTTAAAATGTTATTTTTTAAAAAACAATTTTAAAATCTAAAAATGTTAAAGATTGTTGTGTGCAAGTTTAAACAATAACTAAATTGACACTTGCCTGTTTTCCAACTATGCGAGTTTTGATAAATTAGTCATTCTATGACTGTTCGGAGGAAGAACTCTTAATAAAAACAACCTGTAAGATTCATGGTTTGGGCCATGTATCTCTGCATCTGTTAAAAACTGTATTGTTGATCTCAAGTGTATAAATTGTTTGGGTTTTTTTCCTTGAGGCTAATCAAGACATGGCGTTAAAAGACAGGTTCCAAACCCTTAGAATCACTATCTTGAGGATTTCTGGGAATACATTCTTATGTAGAATGCAATTTTTTTAATCAAGCAAGCACTATGTACAGTTCCGTATATTGTGTGGGATGGTGTAAGTGTGTATTCAGGGCTTGTTTAGGAAAACTCAAAGTTTGTATATTTTAACTAGTGTCATGGATTATTTGCAATTCTGAACTCATCAAAATGTAGACTCAATACAAGCAAGTAAATAGTATTCAATTAGTATTAGGCAGACTTGCATAAGAATCTGGGCTGGAGCTTTTTAGGACAGAATTCTGGCCTATTAGTGCCTTAGAATGCTTAAGGTTGGAGGGGACCTCAGAGGTCATCTAGTCCAGCTCATATGTTGGGCAGGACTATGTATGAACATAGATATTTAAACAAGATGTATGAACAGCCTTGCTGTTCTTAAGTATATGGTTATATCTTAAACTGCCTATAGAAGAAAATAATAGTACCATTTTTTGTTCGTTCTTTCCATAGACTGGGTTATTACAGTATTTGCTACCATTTTAATGGTACCATTTATCATTTACCTCTGCTAACTACCATTACAATGGAGTGTCTGTAAAAGCATGCATTTTTTATTTTTGAAGCATTTTAAGAGTTTGCCTTGCTTGTTATTCAGATATGTATTATATGTAAAATTTGCCTGTCTTCTAAATTGTGTTTTTCCATCTTATTATATAAAAATTGATAATAAAAATATGACTGAAAAATGTATCTGTGTTGCAATGGTGGCAGTTGACAGTAATGTCTATGGAGTTGCAGTGATCTAACATATAAACATATATTTACTGATTAGAATTGTATTACCTATCCTTTGTCAGAATCTGTCAAAGAAGGAGTATAGTGTTTTCTGACAGGAGAAGCATTGATGAACGTAAGCAGTGTATGATTTTAGAACACACTACTCAAGATAGGATATAACAGTGAAGTAACAATGATATTCCATTGTAGTGCCAAATTGTAGTCTCTGTTATACTACCGGAATACTCCCTGGCAATTAAATGGACTGAACACATACACATGAGTATGTACTGAATTACTGAATATATTGGTGATCTATTGGAGTAGAGGTTCCAGAATAAAAAATCCACAGCACTGCCATGTAAAAAAATAAAGCTACAAGCTACCTTTTTTTTTCTTTTTTTTTGTTTAAATGTGGAATGCGGGAACATTGAACAACTGAAATTCTGATTTTATTCTGCTATCTAAAACACATATATCCTGATAACCAGCCATCTTACCAATCACCTTTTACTTGGAAATTCCAAGTTAAATTACTTAGAATTGTTTTAACTATTGGAAAATTAATTTGCCATTTTCCAAGTTAGCTGTAAAAACACCATACCTCAGGAAGACCTTATAGATCAATGAGGTATTACATAGAAAAATTGAATGCTAGTGTGGTCAGATAGGAAGAACGTGGATGGAGATGTCCAAAAGATGTATTTTTATTTTTCATACCTTTCATCCTGTAAGTGGTTCTGATGTTGAGGACATTATGTAGGTCTTAGCTCGAATTTAGTTTATATTTCTCTATCTGAAATTGGAAAAGTTGTTCAAGAAAGACTTGTTTTCAGTTATATGTTGAACATATAACCGAAAATTGAAAAGTTTATTTTTGCATTTCAGTGAAGTAGGACAAGTAATAGTTATTTGATGGGTTTTTCGTGTTTTTGTTGTTGTCATTGTTCTTGTCTATCAGATCAGTTCTTTTCCTGAAAAGCCAATATTCTGATAATTAATTGAAAGCACATCCCAGTTGTTTGAATCACTGAAATCTTTTCAATAACTTCAATTTCTATAAGGCTGTCTGATGCTTCCATGTATTTGAAAGTATGCTCAGATTGGGACAGCAAATCAAAATTATTTGGGTTATTTACAGGTGCAGACTGTTCAGACTTCATTATCCGAATCTCCAGTGATGACCAACCCTTCCCAGCGTATCCAGATTATTTCCACAGACTCCTCTGTAGCTTCTCCACAACGCATTCAGGTAAAAATTCACTATTACACCTTTATTCTGTCTTTTCTTTTCACTTACATACAAAGCATGCTAAAGTTGATGGAATATTTCCTTAAATTTTATGAGAGCAGATCATTTCTTAATGTAAACTAAAACTCCATTTTTTCCTACGATAGTATTTGCTGATGACTCTCTGGCAGTAGAACAATCATTGACTATGGAGTTGGGGAAAACACTCCCAAAATTAAACTTGCCCTAGCTCTCCCATAGCAAATGGAGAGACACAGTCAACCATCTCAGTTCTAGGATGGTCTCTAAAGGCATTGCTCTCCATATTTAGGAGGAACCAGTGGGACACTAGCCTGCTTAAGTTAATATTAGCCTTTGAGAATGCTTCCCAGTGGGTCATTATTGCTTATAAATAACATGTAGATACCACCAAAATATGAGACTTTGTAAATGTTTGCAGTGCAAAGTGATATCAGAATTTTCTAAAAATGAATGTTACCATGGTATCACATAACCTGCATACCACTATTTTGCTCTCCTTGACCTTGTTCTCCACCGTCTGCTCTACTTCTACCAGGAACTATGCTAGAGTTCTTGTACTCGAGGGTATTTGAAATAATCCTTGCAGTGCAGTTTCTACCACAGGATGAAGTCTCCCTGGGATATGTCTTGATCAGGTTGGATTTTTCCTAGTGTCATTGAGATGAGAGAGAGCCCTACCTCCATGAACAATCCTGGAAACGCTTTCTCAGTATTTTTGATGCTACCATTAAACTTACAGGAATCATGCTACATTTTTTTCTGTAATGTTATTTTAAAAGATTCAAATTACAGCATGCATCATTAGGTTTTTTTACAAGGCTAATCATCATCACCTTACTCATACAAAAAGAAAGCTAGATACCAATGTTCTACATTTGATATATGAAACAATTGAAATAAGTCTGTATGATTAATCTTTATAGACAGGATCAATCACATATTCTTTAGGTATCAGCAACATTTAATTATTTTATGTACAAATGGTAGAATCTGACAGCTGCATTATTTCACTTGCTGATTCTCTAGATTCTGTTGAATGTAAGGTCTGGGCTTTCATTTATGTCTCAGTTGTCTGGTAGCATAATTACTATTTTGCCTAGTAGAGTAACTGTATCAATACATACCTGCTATTTCATGGCAAGGTATATATTCGCACAAAGTGTGTGACTGAAGCGTACCCAATATTTCGGGATTCATAAGGTAGGTATTTCTGTTGTAGCTTTTGCTCAGGTGTGCAAAATAATCTACCTCCTTACATCATGGATGTTTTTGAAAAAACAGCAATCTACACTGAAGGAGAATATTAGGATGAGAAATTAATACTCCACTTACTTAAAACAAATGCAGACAATATCATAGTGCTGTCGGTCATAATCCAAGATTAGATTTCACAAGGAATTATCCTATTAGCTAAGATCTTCCATATGAAACATGATGTTGGCCAAGGAAGACACTGGGGAAAGCTTTGGGGAGCTTAACGACTCTGCATGGAAGTAAGAGAGGAAGATTGTGTTTTAATGTTTGACCTTTTTTGGAGTTACATGACTGTAGAAGCAAACTGGATTAGCATTCATTCACTTAGGTTCTGAAACATCTATGCAGATGCAAGACTTAAGAAGAATGCCTGGAAGCTGTGTTCTTTCCAAAATCTAGAAGTAGGCAGAAATTAATCTTTATAAGAAGTCTGGCTTTATCCCCATCTTTGAGTACCAGTTACTTCCACAAGTTTCAGGAAGTTTGTAATCACAGCAGCTTGAATTTTTCCTTTTTCTTGAGGAGCTAATGTAATCTACAAACATCATTTTATCTATAATTCTTGCACCTCTTGAAGCTACTGTAGAAATAGTATGATTGTAGTTTTGCATATTGCTTTTGCATATAATAACTTTGCACAGGTCTACTAACTGTACAAGTAGCAAAATAATAAATAACAAGAGTCATTATCAGACAGTAGCATATGATTCCAAGGAAGAGTCAGATTTTATAAAGTTACCTTCTGTGACAAAAATCTTAAATATGTTTTACAGATTGTGACAGATCAGCAAACAGGGCAAAAAATACAAATAGTGACAGCAGTGGATTCATCTGTATCTCCAAAACAACAGTTTATATTAGCCAGTCCAGATGGAACTGGTGCAGGAAAGGTGATACTGGCAGCACCCGAGACATCTAATGCGAAGCAGCTTATCTTTACCACGACAGACAATATTGTGCCAGGCAGAATTCAGGTAAATGTAGCAATTAAGATTAAACTGTATTTATTTTTTCTGTTTTTGATTTTTAGATGATTTAAGCATGTAATTATTTTAGGCTTTAAAAGTTACAATAGTTTGCTAAAAGTCTAATGACTTGGATTAGGCTATATGTATGAAAGATATGTAAACCATACAAATCATAGGCTTCATTAATTCAGTCATAAATCCTCCTTTCTTGTGCCTCATGCATTTCTTTGCATTATTCACCTCTTATTATGTGTTATCATTAAAATCCTAAGTGTACAAAGGAATAAATGCACACTTATACTGGTTTCTCTGAGAAGTGTGAGGTTTTCAGATGGTCCATTAGAGACTGGCAGATATGTGGAGATAAAACTCGTTGGGCAAGCTTATATTTCAAACACAATATTGAGACATGCCTGTAGAAGCTTCTTGGAGAAGGAGCTACATTTCTTTAAGGATCTTGAGCATAATCCAGAACAATAGGAACATTGTAAAATTAATTTTATAAGACAGTAGTTCATCTCTAGTGAAATTTGACATCTCTTCTGAATATTCATATCTTTTTTTAAAAGATGCCTAACCCCCATTGTTACCCTTATCGTGGAGAATGTTTTATAGGCAGATGTGTAGTGTCTATAGAAATATTTGGAAAATGATACTGATATCCTTTTAAAAATTATTTTGAATATTTTATTTTTCAGTGCTAAGTGGTCTAACTATTATTAAAAGAGATCTCTTCTGATTTGTATTTTTATTTGTCTGCAAGTGGAATGTTTTTGAATGTTTTGGAATGATAACGACTTCAAAAGAAAAATAAATAAATAAATCATGGGGATCTAAGACCTTAAGAAGTAGAACTGCTTCTATAATGGATCTCTGCTTGAGGCAATTGTCTCCAAACCTTCTGCCCCAGTTAGCAATGTATTGATGGCAACAGCATCTGAAATACAATCCTCTGTGGCAAAATACAGTAGCTACTTGACAGTAATTGCAAGAAGGGAAGGATTTATGACAGCATAAGAAAGGAAAGCTAGTTGTACTGAAGAAAGTTGGGAGTTGGGAATTTTCGTTTTCCGTGACTGCTTTAAGACTATATCACTGAAATGACCAGCAAAAATTTTTCAAAATGTGCATGGCATTTTAACCATATATGTATTTGTGTGTGTGTGTGTGTGTGTATGTATAAATATATATACATATAGCAATCTCTTTTCAGCTTTCATTTTCTGTACTGTTCTGTTGCTCTTGTAAGCTTGTGAATTTGGAATTGTTAAGCATGGTGGGCCAAAATTCTGCAGAATATTTCTTTTAGATATGATCTTCTTAGTGCTTTATGTTAATGGCACTAATATTTTTCTCTCTTAGATGGAAACAACTTGCCAGATGTATCATTAGAAAGCATTTACCCTGGATCCTAACAACAGTGGCTTACTATCAATATGTTCATTTCTTCATCCTCTATTGGTTCTAAATGGTGAAGAGTGAAAAACAGAACAGTAAAAACCTAAACAATAAAACACTTTCGTTAGCTTGCATTTTATACTACTGAATTTATTTTCGCTTCTTATGTTCTTATCCTCAAATTGAACCACTTCCCAGTTAAACCAATCTTGCTCTGTAGGAGTGTTTGTGTGTGTATGTATATATGCACCAGAATATATTATCTAATTCTCTCTTTTTGTTTTTAAATTTTATTTTAGATAGTGACGGACACTGCTTCGGTGGAACGTTTGCTGGGAAAAGCTGATGTTCAGCGGCCACAAGTAGTAGAATATTGTGTCGTCTGTGGAGATAAAGCATCAGGTAAGGAACTTAATGCAAGAAACTTGATTGAAATGGTGGATATCAATTTGAATTGATGAAGTGAAGAGGTTAATGGATGTTAGTGATGTATAAGTGAAAAATTACTTAAACTCTGAACCTTTATGCTCTTGGAATGTAACAGGTATAACCATTGTACAGTTTATATCCTATGATCTGTAACAGCAGATAGAATTGCATCTTTGTTTGGACAGAATTGGAACTACCACTTTATAGATACTTGATTGCAAAATAGACTTATTCTTACTCCTCTTTTCTTTCACCTTCCTTCCCCTCTCACAACTCCTGTCCAAACCCCTGACAACATGTAAACGAGAAACATCCTGTAAGACTTTAAAACTGAAAGTCTGTTCCAAATGATGAAATGAATTCCAAAGAAATTTAGAGGAAGACTTTAACCGTATGTTTTACTTGCTTAAGATAASTATTTTGATGTTAAAATGTGTTTGTTATGTGATAACATAATATATATATGTTTCCATATAGGTCGTCACTATGGTGCTGTAAGCTGTGAGGGATGCAAAGGTTTCTTTAAAAGGAGTGTAAGGAAGAATTTGACCTACAGTTGTCGTAGCAACCAGGACTGTATCATCAATAAACACCATCGGAATCGCTGCCAATTTTGTAGGCTTAAGAAATGTCTAGAAATGGGCATGAAAATGGAATGTGAGTGTTCATACCTGATGTGAGACGATGTCTACCAAGTAATAACTATGTAAAATATCACTGCTTTTTAATGTCCTTTAGATTCTTTCCATTTTGGCGTATGTTTCTTGCAGATTAAGAGAAACAGAACTTTGGTAGCCACAGAATCTAACTTACCTTTCTTTCATCACCCTTTCATGCCTGAGGTGCAGTATTGATTTGTTTTCAACTTTGTATAAGACTACAGAGAGTCTAGTAGAGTACTTGGGGAGCCTAAGTTAGAGCTTTACTTAAAATACATGTTACAAATACAGGATATGTTTGCAATACAACATATTTTAGCAAAGATGGACATAAATATGAGTTTAGTTTTCTGTGTTTAGAATCTGCTTTCCTTCTGACTTTCATTCCTTTTTCTTCTGTAGTGATAGAAAGTGTTTGACCTCCTTTTTTTCTAATTTCTATATTAATTTGATTAGTTATGAGCAGAGTTTTATTATAAGAGGCATTGTATAAACCATTATATGTTAAACAGTGTACTTCTATCTTTGTATGCAGTGCTTCCTACAGTTCCAGTGCTAGGATCCAAACACATTTTCCAATGTATTTTGGTTCTGATTTATAGCACTCTGCTTTTCTAATACAGGACCTCATGAAACCTATTAGCTGGTTGTTTCACGATAAATTTAAGGTGAATCTAAGATGAAGCAATAAATGTTTTTCTGCTCCAATACAGGGAAGATATATAGCACTGTTCTGAAGGAGGCAGAAATATAAGCTATAACTGTAGAGTTTTTTGTTACATTTTCCCTTTAACCTCCAGACTTGTAGTGATACGATTGTTGTGCTTCCACGTATTATGTTGAGCATAAAGGATGATATTTGTGCAGGAGAAACTGCTCCATTTCTGGAGGTTCAGCTAGTTTTAGTTGAAGATTAGTATGATACATGCTAGCTGACTTTACTGGCCATTGGATCAGGTTTCTAATTAATACTTCTGTATACAGCAGGCCAAGAAAATGATTATACCTTACTATTGATCCCCTAAGTTCTGTTGCTTTGATTTGAAAGTATTAGCAAAATCAAAACAAGAAGTGAAACCTTGCTGGTTATGAGGATAGAGACGTGTACACCTTTATCTTACTATTAAATTCAGGAGTCCTGTATGGTAGGATCTGTTTTTTGTTTCTTAGATAATAATAGATCAGGTCTCCATACTGCTGCTATCCACTATATGATTAACTGCTGTAATGAACAGCACAGTAATAGTGTCTGCAGTTATATAATGTCATATATTTGCAAACATTGTGGAATTAATATTTCTACAACACTTAAAAAACTACTTGTTTCGTGCTCTTATTTTTATTACCCCCATTTTCAGGAGAAAAAAATGAGTAAGTTAAATAGTGTGCCAAAACACACAGGAGTTCCATGCAGTTTAGTGGCTTAGATTCCAGATTATATCATAATCTAATATTGGAAAGATACACCTTTCACTCTATTTGACATTACAGTTACACTATTTCTTACTATTTTTATTTAAAAATTTACCATACCTATTTGGCATTTTGAATACTAAGCTTATTTTCTTCAAGTTTTCAAGTGGAGATGATTTCCACTTTTGCAATGAACTAACTCATCACCATTGTTGCATAAGATGAAATCCTGCTATGAGAATTTTACCCTTTTAATGAATTTTTAATTTTGCTATATTGTTTCCTTTCAAATCCATATATTTCTCTTCTTACATAGCGGTTCAGAGTGAAAGAAAACCTTTTGATGTGCAACGTGAAAAACCAACAAACTGTGCAGCTTCCACTGAAAAAATCTATATCAGAAAAGACCTGCGGAGTCCTCTAATAGCAACTCCAACATTTGTCGCAGATAAGGATGGGGCACGGTGAGTACCTCAGTATAAAACTAGCCTTTTTCGGGGGTACTTCTGCATATTGATTTGCAGGTACAACTGTTTTCCTTATCTCTGTACTTTAAAACATTGGCCAGACAAGGCGAAATTTCTGTTTTGCAACCTAGTATGTTCTGCTGTTTGTCAAAATTTTTTGTCTGACTAAAGCTAGGTGGTTCCCATTTCAGAGCTGATTCATGTCCAGCAGGTCAAAGCATAGGCATGGCAAATATGTGATAGGCAAATACAGATCTACCTTGTGATGCATTCAAAGTTGGGCTGGAGATTTCTAGAATTGGTTCTCACTCGTTTCATTTGTGAGTGAAATTATTTAAAAAAATACTACTGTGCACTTGCTTCATTGATAATTACTTGTGGTACAGCTTCCTTGCAGGCCTTTAAAAGATGCGACATTCATTAAGCATGACTGCATTACGTATGTAGGATTCAAGTTTGCATAATGCATGATAATTTGCAGACTATGGTAGCTGACAATCTCATTGTCAGTCCCCTAAACTGTAAGTTTCCTAACCACGTTACAAAAAAGTAACAAATAATATTTAGCAACTGCAAAGACGTGCCGCACTCTCTCAAAAGACAGCCATAAAGGAGTGAAGATTTTAAGCAGACTTCGATTACACAGCTCTTATGCCTCTTTTTTAATGTAAAACTTCACTGATAGTACTACTTTATTCAGCATTGTCATGTTTAATTTAGAATACATAGTTATGGCTTCCTCCAAAGTCTGATGTTACAATTCTAGAGCTCTACAGTGACTCATGAGACCATAAGAATGCAAAACTTTCTTTGAGACGGAAGAAACCAGGGTCAAAAATAAATGATAGGGATATCTATTTGGGAAGTTGTTGCTGCTTTTGTGCAGCAAAGGAAGACATGCTGGATGACAGAATTTCTTGTCTGTTTCAGAAACTACCTTAGATTAAATCCTGAAGGATAGATTCTGAACTTCTTTAAATTGTAAACTTAACAATTGATAATAACTTTTATTCTGACATAGGTTATTACACATGATTTTGGTAATTGTAAAATATTATTAACTGTTACTCTTTTGAATAGGTCAGCAGGCCTTCTTGATCCAGGAATGCTTGTGAATATTCAGCAGCCTTTGATCAGGGATGATGGTACAGTCCTTCTAGCTGCTGACTCCAAGGTAGTATTTTTTTCAGTTTAGTTCTAAACATATTTTTTAAATTTTTGTTGTTATTTTTAAGTTATTTTAGCTATGTACATAGATAAAAGCCATTCTTGATCTTGAGAAGATACAGTTGGGGTAATTCTGAAGATCTAGATCTATAGGAATGCCAATAATAATCTGATAAACAGGGACATTTATTTTCATATGTATGTTTACGCATAGGTTTAGCCATAGCTAGTTCTCCACACAAAATGTCATCAAGGCAAGGATTGATGGTTTCAGTAGAGTTTAGAGTCATCCTCAGGCAGGTGTAATCCATTGATGTCTTGTAGATACCCAAGAGGAAGGGAAAATTACATCAGGGAAGAAGATTAATGACAGGGAACATGTATTTCACCTATAATTTTGATCCACTAATCCAGTTCTTCCTTTTTAGGCTGAGACAAGCCAGGGTGCTTTAGGAACACTAGCAAATGTTGTAACATCTCTTGCTAATCTCAATGAGTCATTAAATAATGGAGATACTTCTGAAATTCAACAAGAAGAACAATCTGCAAGTGAGATTACACGGTATGCATTTATATTTGCAGGTTATTGCAGGAGGCTGTACTTTAACTGATACTCATTCATTGAAGCAACTGATCCTTGTGCTACCAACACAGCAGAGATTGCCCTTTGCTTTAACACACAACATCCGTTACTTAGAAATATAAATTTGATAGTTCTCCTCACCCTGCACTACTCTTCTTGTGAAGAGCTGTGTTTCATGTTAGGCTTGTGTTCTGAAGCTTTTTTAGAAGATGATACAACTGGAAAGATAGTGAAACATGAAAAACCCTTGTTTTCAAAACAGTATTGTCCTTCGCAAGTAAACAACTTTATCAAATGCTGTAATACTGTCTGTTGGTATGAAATAGGAGCACAAGGTTCTTCTCTACATCTAAGCTCTGTTTATCATAAGAAAGTTTACATTGCTTTATTTGCCAACTGCAAATGCCCAGGAATCCAGGGACCATTTTCACTTACGTAACTCTAAGGAGGTTTGTAAGGTTCTATCTGTAATGTGCAACCAGGAATTTCTGGTCATATCCCAGCTTGAGGGGAAGGCAATTTGGGCAGGTTGTGTTGAAGGATATTATACTACCCTCTGCTCTTCACACAAACTGGATGTTAAGTATGAAATTCTGAGTTGAGGAGGGGGGGCACAGTGGATGATAACTGTGAAAGATGCCTTTACTAACATAAATTAATGCAATTAACACAAGATGACAATGCAAAGTTCTTCCTGTGCAGAGGAAATCCTTTACTAGCTCTATATGGGACAGTAGAAATTGGCTAGATAGTGTTGAAAATTCTATTCCTGTGTCTTAGACATGATCAATTCCTGTACATTAACTTTTGAGTGGAATTGTCTCAGGATTTAATTTGACACCTCCCTCTCGTTCTCCCTCTCGTTCTCCCTCTCGTTCTCCCTCTCGTTCTCCCTCTCGTTCTCCCTCTCGTTCTC